AATATAAAAATTAACGATTTTATAAATTGTATAGGTACTACAAAATACTTGTAATTTATCGTGATCTTGATAAATTTAAAAAATAATTGAATTAAGTAACAATTTATTTTTTCTTTAGTATAAGTATTAAATTTATGTTTACATATTAGAAATAATATTTCCATATTTAAATTCTACTAATTATGTACATTTTTTAAATAACCAATCAAAGTTAAATACACTCAGCTCCTTGTAAATAAAATAAAATTTAAATAGTTACTGTAGGTTAGGTTATACATATATGTAGTAGTGCTTAACTTAAGAAAATAATTTACCCACTTGTATAGTATGAGTAAATACTAATAGCATCTTTAATTTAACTACCTATGACTAATGACTGTTCTATAATGTATATATTAGTAATTCTTATTAGATACCTAACATATATTTTCTAAAATATTTGAATAATTATTAATTTATTCTTTATTTGCATTAAGTAATCCTAAACATATTTTTGTGTGATTTCTAAACGATAAAGATATAGCCTTTCGACCTCTCTGAGGATAGTATCTAAAAAAATTGGGTGTGATTCCATGCATAGGGTTCAACCTAACTGTTTTTTTATAATTCTATAACCAATTGATCAAGAGATATAGTTAAACGTTTCATTACAATAAATATTTGGTCTTCAAAACGCGATTGATGATATTTTGTTCTAAATTCTAATGGCTATCTGTTCTATAATTTAGATTTGCGTAAAGCATGGAATGTATTGGTTTTAAAACTTTTTTTTTCAATGAATATTTGTTTTAAAAGTTTCAACTAACACTATAAATAGGTATTCGAGACTAATTAGTATTTTGAAATGTTATTTTTCTTAAATTTCTATAAACTGAAAAAAACATTGAGCAATGTTGAATAAATGAAAAAGTTTAACTAACAACCAAGATCTTCTGAAAATGTCAAAATCGTTATAATGATACAATGAGTTAACATTTTATTTGACTACAAACTACTATACTATTCCAAGGTGAGCAAAGCTAGACAAATGACCAACACCAAAATTGAATTGACTTATAGATTAACTTAAATTTTATAATTTATATTAATCAAAAATTTCTACAATTTTAAAGATGAACTAAAATTTTCAATTTTTTGTTATTATTTACAAAACAAAATCAATTGATAAAATTGTCCATTCTATTCACTAAATAAAGAGTATGTATTAAAAACAATTAGTGTTTGAGTTAGAAAAAATGTATTATGTAAAATGATGTTATATAATTTATATAAATTGATTTATTAATTATTATTTCTAATTTACTTATGTGACATAATGAAAAATTACTGTAAACATCTGTAATATTCTGAAATAAATATAAGATTGCCTAAACAGCTTTATCCAATTGTCAAGTACTATTAACACTGACTAGCGTTAATTGTATTACATATTACTTAGTACCTAGATACCTAGGAATTATAATAATAATATATATTATCATATAAATATTAATAGCAAACATTTTTATTTTATTTTTATTTAGTTGTAAGCTTCTTTGGATCTAGTATTTCTGCAGCATGGTTGTATTTTATTACTTCTTCAATGGAGAATATGGTATTATCTTCAATATTTGAAGCTTTTTCTAGTATTGGTATTAGCCTAACATATTGCATTACTGTTGAGTTATTTCCAACAGAATACAGGTAAAATACTCAGAACTATTAATAATTTATTCGAACAGTGTGTATTTTTAATTGTATTTTATTATTTTTAAGGGGCATGGCTTCGTCTATAGGAACTATGTTTGGTAAAATAGGTGCACTTTTGGGCAATATTCTAATTGGAATTTTTATTGATGCTCATTGTATAGTTCCAATATTTGTTTCAAGCTTATTTTTGATAAGTGAGTACAAATATATTATAGTAGTCAATAGTTTGAGTTAAGTAAATATTCATTTTTAGTCTTAAGTTAATACAAATAAATATTATGCATATAACACTCTTTGAATAAGTTGTAGTAAAAAAAGAGGAACAATACTTTATACCTACCTTTAAACTAGTTTTCAATATTCTCAACACTTAAACTCGATAAATGAATCAATTGCAAAAATGTCACGAGTCAATTATTTAAAAATGTTTGATAGTTGTTAAAAACTGTATAAAATAAATAATTTTGAAAAAAAAAAATTTAAGAATGTATATCTATTAAAATATACCATATACCGATTATACATAATTTCTGTGTAAAAATAATTTAATGTGCGCTTGTTATTAACTTTCAAAGTTTTCTGACTTATAACGTTTTTCCGACCAACGAAAATATAGCAAACAAAAAATTGTTTTAACACAAAGAAAATAAATTTATAAAGGATTATAAATTCACATTATTACATTAAAACAGTATTAAATTTTAAACACCTATAAATTCCTATAGAATATTATTACAATTCAATAATATTAAAATATTAAACTATAAATTTTTACATATTTTTCATTTATTTTTCTATAGTTCACCAATTCAAAATTTCATTCCAAAATAAATTGATTACTTTACAAAGAACTAGTATACAAGATGCTGGTTTTTATATCCTTAATTTTATTCGAGTTTATTAGTAAAATGTCTTTATAGTTTTCTATCGGTAATTCAACATGGTTCCAGGTATTGTCAACCAAAAATTATTTTTATTGACGCTTTAAATATTTTATATTATGTTATATAATAATATTTATTTTACCTGAGTTTAAAATCAAAAAATTCGAATGCATTATAAATTAGACATTAAGCTTGTTTTTTTTTACTAGATTGAAACTTGATATATTCCCGTATAATATAAATTTGATTAATTTTTCTTAATTTACGTTTAATTATGCCAGAATAACTATCACAATCTTAGAATGAATAGGGTGAATGTCCTCGATCAGATTTTATAGTAGTAATTTTATAGATAAAAACAGTATAACTAAAGACGTTGTAACACATAACGTATAGAAACACATGACTAGAATATTATTTTTTTACTTTCTGCTACCATTGATATAAATGCATTTAATTTTTAAGCTTTAAAAGTTTAAGACATTGTATTGTGACTTTTTGAGTTCTTCTAGTATATAAATTATTATATTATTATAGTTGTATCTTGTATAATATTAGTTGTTTAGTTATATAGATGTACCTACCTAACTATATTTGTACATAATATTTACTATTTAGTTTCAGCTTTCTTAGTAATTGCATTACCAAAAACTAGAAGAACCAACATAATAACTGATGGAGTACTTTAGAAATAATTGTATCCTTAGGGCATAATGTAATACTTATAAATTATTATATAAAAAAATAAAAAACAAAATATATGTAATCATCAATAATTAATTTAAAATTCTAAGAATATCGATCATTGTAGTTTATTTTTATACTTTTAAATATAAAATCTATCTAGAACAGAATAACAGGACGCGTTGTGACAGATATCATTGAATGTCGTGTAAATATATATTTGACTAAAATTTTTTTTTTTTTATTTAATTATTAAAATCTAATTTTTCATTGGGTGGTTTTCATTTGAACGAATAACCTAAAATAACATCGTTTGGGTGAATATACGTTTTCCTACCCATTTTTAGAGACTTATAGAACTCTCAGTTAACTTTAACTGATATAGTTGAAAATGTTTTATATTGTCATGTAATTTATCTTAACTAATTTTGTTTATCAATATAGTATCTCATACCCATTTGTTTAATATAATCTATTATTGTTAATTTTTCGGTTTGATATTCTGCCCAAAATTGTATTTGTAAATTGGTTTTGACACTTCAAAGTAGTTATCACCAATTAACCAAAACAATAAAATAATAATATTAAGTTGTAATAAATATAAAAAAAATCATTGTATAGGTAAGTATGTTACTTACCTATTACTCAATAATTTATAAATTTACCTAAACGATCGGTTAATTTCTCGCCCAAATAAGTTATGCTCTACTCAGATAAATGTTGGGTTATTCACCCAAATGAATAACGCCTTTTTCATTTGTATTCATTATTTTTTTTAATTGAATTTTAAAACATCAACTATGTGTATTATGTGTTATTAGGAGGACTTTATACACGCATATGTTATCTCTTATTGTATTACTAACGCACAGCATGGAAAATTTAATGTTTAAAAGAATTAGTATTATTTAAAGTATAACATTGAATTGACCTACTATAAAATTTAAAAGTAAGAATATTTTCAAGGATCTTATAAATTGTTTTTGACATTTTTATTTTGAAGTAAATTATAAGCATATTAAATTTACAAAAATAACAATTTTAAATCGTTCTTAATTTGCTAAAAAATTAAAATACCAACAAAAAAATCTACTTCTTAAAACAACATTTTGTTATTAACTAGTCAAGTAGTTAAAACATAATATCAAATATTTTTGTATTATAATAATATAGGTCCAGTATTGTATAGGTCAACCAAGATTTGTTGTGGTGGTGGGTTTAAGAGTCTAATCAAAAGATTTATTTTATTTTTTTATTATTATTAAGATGAATTAAGAAATCATAATAGAAATTATTAGTTATTAGGTACCTATTTCAGTAAAGTATAAAAATGGTCAATCATTTTTTTTTTTATTTACAAAGCACTATGCAGCAAAGGGTTCCTAATGCCCCAATACAATTATTATGAGGAAAAGATATTTTTCATTCCTAAATCATTTTTACAATCCTACTTCTCGTCCACAATATTACAGTACTCAAATTCAATATTTTAGATTTATACCAAGTATGAAATTTAAACAGATTAACATTAAAGTATATAGGTACGTTAATTTATACTTCATTACATCAAAACCATTTATGCCGACAAGAGTATATCATGTTAATATATTATAATTATAATTTATAAGAATTAAAATACAAAATTACTTTGTTGTTGTACATATTAACTTAAATTAATATAAGTAATAATGTAATGATACCTATATAAATTCTTTAAAGTTAATTGTTTAACGTGTAACAAAATAAAATTTGGAGTTGTAGAACAAAATCGAATTTATATTGATCATTTATGCACATCTGTTAATAATGCATCTGATAGATGACAGACCAAACGGCACGAAAATCCAACGCCTATAACGGCTATAACCTATAACGTTACAATAATACAATATTGTCTTTGTTTTAGTCATATTATTATGTATTATTGTTTGAGAACAACGTAATCTCCTTCTGCGTCTGTATTCAGTACACGTTCATAGTGATATGTTAGAACGGTAGATTGCGTCGTTGTTTACAAAATATTATAATATCACGTCCACCACTTGTAAAATTCTCGGTAAAATAATAGTGTAAGTGTGTAACCACTAACCACTGACCAGTATAGACATTAGTCAGTCAGTCCAGTCGTCAATGTCAATCCCTACACTAAAGTATGCACTATGCAATGAACGTACATCCCGTTTAAAACGAAACCGATATTTTTTTGATATTCTCTCGTCCCGGAAAGCTTCGAACAGCATTGTAAGTAATAACCCGTTATCTCCGTGTAACCATATGTTAATAAATATTAATTATAGGTAATATTATTATGTGCACAAGAGAAAAACCTGTACTAGAAAAAAATCAATATTTTTACCGTTTTGTTTTTGATCACATCGAAACTAAAGTATATCGCTGTAACTTGAAAACAACAATTTTTGTGTAACGACTAATGAGCGCGGAATGACAACGATCAGTTGTGTATGGCGGTATGAGCCATGTATTTCATATGCGCATAATTGTGTAAACAATATAAATAATATAATGTTGTGAACCCTCGCAACAAATGTGACGGTTATCACACATGCATAACAGGTGAACACTCATTATCTCCGAATTCATTAAAAAAATGTAAAAATCGCAACAACCTTTACAGGTTTTTTCTAGAGTTGAGCCGAAATCGTTCGTCCTAGCCCAACCCCCTAACCCCTTTCACTGGATTCGCCATTGTCAGTATATTTGGTCGTGCGATATCCTCAACCGGATCATAAACTATATTATGTTTACGTGGACGCGAGAATTTCCGTGTTGCCGTGAAATGTATGTCATAATTTTAATGGTAAGTAAGATTTATTAATTATTTGTTTAGATATATTCGTGTATGCAGATATACAAAAAGCGTTATTTTTCGTTAAAAATGTATGAGTTATCAACACATTATAACAATCAGTAGACTGTGTAAATTATTCTATTGATAATTGATATGGATATTTTAAAAAGATTAATGTTGCATAATTTAATTATATGCATATGTGAAGATACAAAATACAAATATCGTATATGTAAATAGTATAATATAATAGCACGTTTTTAAATAAAAATAATACACATTACATGTTTCACGCTTATTATAGAAAAACAAAAACTGTATGATACCTACATACATTATTTAGTATCTATAATCTACATATTATGTAAATAAAAATGTTCAATTAAAATTTCATAATTTTTTTACTTAATATCTAAGCTTAATTAATTTTTTAATATTTTCCCATGTATATATGTAATAGATAAGGTACCTATGAATATTGAATAATATACAATAAATTATTTTATATGTACATATTTTTTGTTCTTAAAAAACATTATATTATATTTAATAAGATTCTTAATTTTTTTTATAAATTTTGTATTATTATTGTTTTTGTGATTTATTTTTTATCTATATAAAATAATAAGATTTAAGTACCAATTATTATTTTTTGATGGAAATTATATTTCCCTACGTTTGTGTCATTATCTCTGTTTAAAAAACAACATTTCATGTATTTGATTAGTACCACATTAAAAATTCATGAAATAAAAAACATTATTTAAAACATCCTATCTATAATTTATTTAGTTAAATTTAAGTTTAATGCCATACAGTATTACAGTTATGCATAGCCGTTAGATAACAATATATTATCAGATTTTCTTTAACTTTGTTTGCTCTTGTCGATTGCGTATTTTCTTGGTAGCTATTCTATTTATAAACGAAATTTCCTTGAACTCAAATATAGAATGCACTTTGGGTATTCTTCAATAAATATGCAGGTTTCCTCATACATGGGTTGTCCACGAATTACGTTGTTATGGTGGAAGGCATGGACCAGTTGCACGTAAATAAAACAAAATTTGTATTTTAGGATCAGTGTCAAAATAAAACTTCTTATTTACGGTTAGTAAACTAATAGAGTACACTTACCTTTCAATTTTATCTTTAGGCGTAAGAAAATATTTTTGTCCAATATAATTACATCAACATTGAATTATCACACATTTTTAGAGTGATCAGGTATAGAATACGAAAATACGGAACCAAGATAAGAGTTTTGTTTTTAACAAAAAATATACAATCTGTACCCTTGGGTACAATAAGAATATGTGATATGATATTTTGTACATGAAAACGTGTGGGAAAAAGCCAAGATAAGGGCAAATATTTTTTAGTATTTATAAGTATAAAATATGGATTAACCTATATTCGAAGTTGATTCTTGGGTACTTAATATTACAGTTTTTGACTCTTTAGGCAAATATTTTTGGGATAATGTATATGTTTTATGAGTGTCTTATTTCCCAAAAGTCCATTGATCATATACTATAATTATGTTCATATAATAAATTATATACAGAAACACCATCATCAGTGATTAAATTAGTTTGATTTTCGTTAAAACTTAAAAGATTTTTTACTGAAAAAATTGTTTACTTTTTGGGATTTCTGTGCATTACTAAAAATAGATACTAAATTTGATACTAAAAATATCACCGTATACGGTACATTCCATCTATCTTTCTGGACCGTTGTTTGACACTTTAAAAAAAAGTTGAATTTGTATTGTAAATTTTCGTTAAAAGCGCACCTTATTTTAGCCATAATTATTATTTTTATTATTAATTCAACTATTTTATTTTACAGTCGGTATGATAGATATTAGATACTTAGATATACTCAGATATATAGAGCACGTCATGAAAGCTGAGGTGTTTACACATGAAATGCTGACAAATTATAAAAATTATAAATATTTCACAGAACTGACTTTACAAGAGAAATCATAACTTTTGTACAAATAATAAATACTTATTTATTGGTAGGTACTGCATTGTATTTTATTGTTGGTCTTTCACGATGTCCTGATCATTATCGCCTATATTATGCGGGCTATGATCCATTACGACGAAGACCAAAAGGCAAAAGTAATTTTATGTTCGAATAATCGATTTCGATACCGATACAAATCGATATATAGCAAATAAGCAATATTATTCTAGAAAATAAGCATATAACAAACTCCGTATTTGATATTTAATACAAATAGATGAAGATTGTACTTTTAATTTTATGCAATTTCTTTTAGAAATTTTTTTATTTATGAAAATAAACTTATTTCAAAAACGGGATAAATTAACATTCTGAAACCTTATGTCGGAAACTTAACCGTAGGGAAATTTTGCCGTGGTCGAAAAATTTTGTATACGCTCAATAACTTTAAATTCACTTTGTATAATGTTGTTATTTTATTATTGATATTATTGGATTTTACTTATTAATCTTATCTTATCTTAAAACCTATATTAATCGCCAATGACCGATCGACGTTGAAGATCACGATTATAATAATTATGGCAATAACGTTTTAATAATTTCTTATCTAACGACACAACTCGCAGTGAATTAGTAAGTCAGTAGGTAACATAATAAAACCTCAAGTAATGTCGACTCGTGGTCGTGAAATATTTGTGTGTAATGGTTTAATGTATGTTTATTTATGAATTTATGATAATGTTAATTTTAATAATACAATATGGTTTTGGAGTTTCCATAATAGAACTTTTTGTAAAATACGAATTCATACAGGAATAAATAACTACACTGTCACAAAAACTAATAATGAATATCGTTACGGCTTAGAAACGTCAAAAATCGAAGCAGATGTTGCAGTGATGAATTTAAAAAGAACACGTTTACTGTGATTAACATGTGTATTGCTCTATTGTCTAAAGCTGCCAAAGTAAAAAAGTTAATAAAATTTTTTTTAAATTTAGGTAAATATTATATTTTATAACTATTATTTATTATTGCAGAATATAATTACATTAAAAAACAAATTCAACACAAAAAAAAACAAGAAAATTGAGTAGCGACTCAAAATCCAGAAAATTTAAAATGTTAGAAATACCAGCTTCATATCAATTATATCGTATATGTACCTACATTTCATCAACAAAAAAACGAAGAACTATTTTTGGAAGATGATAGTGATTCTAGTCCGGATGGAATATTAATTTTTAGTCGTTTCCAAAACCTTGATACACTACAGAAGTACACAACTTTAAAATATGGTATATATACGGTACATTTAAAATGACATCTCCACTATTTAGTCAATTATATGTAATACTTGCCTAATATCAAGACAGTGCATTTCCATTAGTATATATTTTATTATTAGATAAAAAATCAAAAAATTACGATGAAATATTTTCATTGTTAAAAAATTTAACACTCAAATTAAATCCTAGTTCTGTTTCATGTGATTTAGAACAAGCTGCTATAAAGTCAATGAAAATAGGATTAGGTGAAATAAAATAAAGTTTTATTAAAAATAAAAGCTTTTATTAAATAAGAAGTAAAAATACTTGGGTGTTTAATTTATTCGTCGAAGAATATTAAAAAACAACTCGGTAAATAACATCGTATTTCCCAAAATAACAATATTTCTGACTTTGTAGTTTCTGTTAAAATTATTGTTACATTAGTGTTCATTAAATTATAAAAAAAAATTGAAATTTTAATGTTACTGTTGGTGCGTTGGCTGAATACCTTAATGAAGAGTTTTATAATTTAATTGAATGGTTCGAAAATAACTATATTTGAGGAGTAAATAGAAATAGAAGTGATGAACGCTACGCACGTTTCTCACCTGATATTCGGAGTTTTTAATTTCCAATAAACCATGCAGAAGCTGCAAATAAACGACTTATTGTTGAAATAGGAATATGCCTTTCGTCAATTTGTTCGAAAAAATTCAATCTGCCGTGGTTATTTTTTCTTCAATTTATTGCAACTAACATATCATCCAAAAATTTAAAAAAAATTGTCGATCTAGATAGACGCATTTTAAAAATAGCACAACAATAATATTGTGATAATAGAAACTATACTTCATATGCAAAAGGCATAGCAAATAATATTTTACTACCATGATCAATGATCATTGATTATTGATTACCTTTATTTTTAAAGTATTTGAAAATTACGAATATGATTAAATATACTAAAAATGCGTTGTTATTTCTTTATCTTTATTAGTATTTAATGGCCACGGTTAAACGGTCACGTTGAAACAACCGCATCGAATGGCCACAGCTGCGAATTGTCCTAGATCTTGGTAATTGATATACTCCCACATCGAACAAAGAATTTCTAATATTTATTTGAGATTTTAGTTGCTGATCAGTGATCTATTTATCTATAATTATTAATATCTTCGGTATCAACAAAATGAAAATTTAATATGTATTCTTAACTAAGAATACAATTTATTATGAAAATTATATCTATTATAATAAACTAATAACTCGAAAATACCCTTATTTTTAGTGGTTTTACTATTATTCCAATGATGCCATATACCGATATACATAGTAGGTAGTAGGTACATTATAATCATTATATAAATTAATAAAATCATAAAAGTCATAGTATAATTTGTATTTTTCGTCTTAATGTGTATATCATTTAATACTTAATATACAGGGCAATATCATGAAAATCAAATTATAAAAAGTCTATAAGAAATTGTAACTCGTTAGTTGTTATTCCGGCTGAAAATCTCACCTCAAGGAGTGGGGGTTATTTAGGGTTATCACCTCGTACCACACCTGTTCGCTTACCAAAATACTATTATTATAGTTCGCTTACCGCTAGAGCCACCCCCTGTAATATGTATATAGTAAACTGTATAGAGCTACCTCAGCTGCGATACCCACACAAAATTCACAAATATATAGATGCGTGTATAGTTTCTAACTGCTTATATTCCCATTACATTATATTAGTCGGGGATAGGAGGATGGAAAATATAAGATAATAATATTGTGTATTAATATATAATTTAGCAGTGTACATAGTAATTTTTTTTAACGCTACAAAATAACATAGTTATATTATAAT